AGGAAGGAAGGAAGGAAGGAAGGAAGGAAGGAAGGAAGGAAGGAAGGATAACCCAATTAAGTTAACAGAGCAATGCAAAAATTATAAAGTTATATAATAATAAAGCACCATTTTCTTAAGCTCGTGGATCTGTTATATTGAGCAAATATTTTGCAATGTGGCAATATCAAGGAATAGGGGAGAGTAGGCAATGGGGAATTTTGCAGAAGAGGTGGTAAATAAACAGGGTGAGGGTTTTGTTTTGTTTTGTTTTAACAAAACTGGTTATATTTCCACAGCAGCTGAGTCCATTCTCTCCAAAAAAAGTCTGGGGACACCTATTTTAGAAATACAAATCAATCTTCCATCTAAGAGCACTTTGGAACCTTCCAGATCAGTTTAAATCACGGGCTTCATGTTAACTGTGATGTAGTTGCTGCTTTTCTCGCCTTGAGGGCCTCTCCCATTTGTGTCATGTTTACACAAATGCCTTTGTCAGGTATCCGTCAGAGGTGCGTGATTCCCTCGTCCCTTTCAAGACATCTGAGCCGTGTTGAGATTTGTGTAGAAATGAAACTGTACGAGACGAAAAGATCTCCTTCTACGCATTCCAAGTAGCTTTGAGTTTGGAGTTGAAGGGGTTGGAGGAAGCCTCCGCACCTCCCTTTGCCAAGAAAATGAAATGTTTGGGGGAATATTAAAAGAGGCAGAATATTATATTTCCCCAAAGGAGAAATGGAAAAACATGTTTTTAAAGGCAAAAGCCAGCCCTAGTTTCCCAGTAAAACAGCCCCTAGCTGATGTCGGATGTCTTTAGAGATGGATATTTTGTGCCCATTAAGAAATCCAGGCTGACCTATTCACAAACCAACTGCCTTCAGCTCCAGTTGATAGGACTAAGAATTTACATCCCCACTCTCACCCAAATTCTAAGGACAGGCACAGGACCTTTAGGACATAATAGGATTAACCTACCACCATTAGAATAGCGAAAGGCTCACTACACCGCACAATCCCCTGCAACCTTTCAGAAACTGTATAACAATCGTTGCAAACAATTCACCTAGAAATTACATACACCATTCCAACATCTGTTATCTTTACATTTTAATACTTAGGTTGAAATTTCGGGCATCCAATCTGTTTCCTCCACTTCTTTTTTTTTTTCTTTTTTTTGCAAGTGTCATTCAAACTCCAGTTAGAAAGGGCTAAAAGTCAAGAAAATTGGGAAGGAATGAGAAGCTAGAAAAGGCAATACAGGGATTAAATATCAGGGACTGATTCCTGAGAATTAATCCTCTTGGAGGACTTAATTGTAATAGGATCAACAAAGGGGAAAGTCAACACTTTTAATCTCATCCTTTTAAATAATTGAGCGTGAAACGCTGATCTTTTGTCAGATTGTCTACTGCATTATTTCATCTAAATATAAATGCTAACTGAATTAAAAATAATGACTCCTTTCAGTTCAGTTCAACTCCTGGTGGGCACGTCTCTGTAGCTTTCTTGGCTGTGGGATAAAATTGGCTGGCTTTTGTTTTTTTATTTCATAAGTTTGCTATCAACTCTGGGATTCTCAGGCTTCTCCCATTCAGGCGCTAACCAGGGTTGATCTTCTTAGCATCTGAAGATCAGCCAACATCAGCTAGATGCTGCAAAAACCCAGGTCCTTCACAGTTCTCAACTTTTCAAGCCTGAATTTTTACTAAAGTTAAAAGTAAAGGTTCCCCTCGCATATATGTGCTAGTCGTTTCTGGCTCTAAGGGGCAGTGCTAATCTCCGTTACAAAGTCAAAGAGCCAGCGCTGTCTGAAGACATCTCCGTGGTCATGTGGCTGGCATGAGTAAATGCCGAAGGGGCACAGAACGCAGTTACCTTCCCATCAAAGGGATCCCCATTTTTCTACTTGCATTTTAAACTGCTAAGTTGGCAGAAACTGGGGCAAGTAATGGGAGCTCACTCCGTTACACGGCACTAGGGATTTGAACCGCTGAACTGTCGACCTTTCTCATCGACAAGCTCAGCGTCTTGGCCACTGAGCCACCACGTCCCATTTAATTTTTAACAGAGTCCATCAATTATTTGATATGGGAAAGATGGGGTCCACCGTTATTACCAGTTTATGTGAGCGGGAAAACGCACAAAGCAAAGACAATGCTGAGCATGGTGGCTTTTATTGATGTCAATATTAACAAGGTTTTTTTTTTTTTAATATATATGTAAAAATTTTAGCTTCACAGCATTAACTTAAAAAAAAAGTCATTGGTGGGTAGTTTTCTATACTCCCCGTCTGGATCTTTCGAAAATGTTGTCCTTCGGGCGTGAAGAAATGCAGCACGATCTCACCACAATGAATATCTGAAATAGGAAGGCAGGGAGGAGAATGTGGGATAAATTTCATCACTTTTACGCTGTCTATTCATCGGGATGTCCCAAAGGTGCTTTCTTCAGGAGGCAACTGGACTTTCTTATTTTTTCTTTTGAAGACATTTCTCCAAGAAGCTTCTTCACCTCTGATAGGATGATGAGGAATGGAAGGATTTATATTCCTTGCAGACAGCTGGTCATTTGCATCCTTTTAGAGGGTCGCTGAAGCCACTTGGAGGTTTTTCTGTGTCCTCAGGGTCACCTCAGTAGCGCTCCTGGTTCCTGTAGTCTGCCATTTTTCCCTCTGGAAATCCATTCCTACTCCCGCAGCATTCAAAGGGTGTTCACCCCAAATTGTATTGTTAAAAGTCTTTGAATGGTGTGTGAGTAGGAATGGATTTCCAGAGGAAATATTGCAGACTACAGGAACCATTAGCACTACTCAGGTTACCCTGAGGACACAGATAAACCTCCAAGTGGCCTCAGCGACCCTCTAAAAGGATGCAAATGACCAGCAGTCTGCAAGGAATATAAATCCTTCTATTCCCCACCATCCAGTCAGAGCTGAAGAAGCTTCTTGGATGCGAAGAGAAATGTTTTCAAAAGGAAAAAAACAAGAAAGTCCTTTAAAAAAGCACCCTTGGAACAACGAAGACCTGGAGGACTGAGAATCTTTACAGACACTCATCGAGATAATTTGACCATATAGAAAATATTTGGAAAAAAAAAAGACTGAACATATAATGTTTACACACACACACACACAAATGCACACATAGATATACACAGAACTTTAATATGTGTCTTAAGAGTTTCCAAGTTGTGTGCACTAAAATGACACCTCTGTTGGAGAACAGCAGGCAGAGACTGAGGGCAGAGTCAAGAGAGGAAGGAGCCTGGAATCCTTACGTTCCTGCAAAGGATCTAAGTTCAACCCTTCTTGAAGTCCACTGGCTCTTATCTCATGCCGGTTTAGTGCTGACCACTGGTTGACTAGATTCTTATGCATAGGCCTAATGAACCATAAATCAGCTTAATTGGAACACATGATCCTCATTCTGGCACTCCTGATGAGCTCTTCTTTAATCATCCCCTTCATTTTGGCTGGCAGTTATTGACCCGCAAATACCTCTTTCTGCTTGCAGCTTGACAAAGAAGTTAAGGGACGAGAGGTGGCTGGGCGTGATTGGAATCCGTGGGAGGGAGAAAAGGAATTTACGTGAGCCGTTGGCAGCCTGAGAAATTCTCACAGTGCCAAGGTTGGAAGCGGAAGACTTTTGAAAGATGCAGATTGCTTCCCAAAATTAAATGCTTCTCCTGGATGGGTGGACAGTGGACATTGGGTGGCCCAGGTGAAGGAAAAGGGAATCTCACTATATGGCGCTTTGTGCCAAAACTTCAGAATTGGCTTTGCTTCTTCTATACCTGAATGGACCTATGAGTAAAGTTTTACTCTTGGTAAGAAAAATGTTCTGGGAGCTTCTTTTACTGGACATGCCAACGGGATCTTTCACTGTATTTATCATCCAAGTATGAACCAGGCTAGACAAAGGTACTAAGGATACTTGATATCAAAGTTATCAAAATGGATATGCACATTCCCTTTTCAAAGCTATTGGGAATGTCAAGGGAATTCCAGGTGAATAGAACTAGTCTTTTTTTTTTTTTTTAATTGTAAGAAGTAATGATTTACCTTTGATCAATTTCTAGCTCTTGGAGGTTGGTAAAACTGTTGAGTTGGTCGTGTTGAGCGCCTGGGTTGCCCATCACCCCCTCTGCGAAATTCTAAAGTTTGCTCATACGTCATTTCTTCCTCCTCCTGAAAAACAAACAACGTGATTTAGAAAGGCACACGACCGTAAGGATATCCTTCAATCTTTACAGAATTACCTTTGGGTTTGTTTGTTTTTTTAAAAAAAGAAGAATAAAGGAAACTGAGAGCTGGGTTACAAGTTAGGGTTTTTTTTTTTCGGAAACACAGTTCCAATATCCCAAAGGTGCTTTTTCAAGAGGCAACTGCATTTTTTGGTTTTTAGAATAGAATAACAGAGTTGGAAAGGACCTTGAAGGTCTTCTAGTCCAACCCCGCTGCTTAGGCAGGAAGACTTTACTCCACTGCAGACAAATGGTTATCCGACATCTTTTTAAAAACTTCCAGGGTTGGAGCAACCACAACTTCTGGAGGCAAGTTGTTCCACTGGTTAATTGTTGTAACTGTCCGGAAATTTCTCCTTAGTTCTAGGTTACTTTTCTCCTTGATTAGTTTCCACCCATTCTTTCTTGTCCTTCCTTCAGGTGCTTTGGAGACTAGCCTGACTCCCTCTTCTTTGTGGCAACCCCTGAGATATTGGAACACTGCTATCATGTCTCCCCTAGTCCTTCTTTTCATTAGACTAGACCTGTGATGGCGAACCCATGGCACAGGTGGCATGCAAAGCCATTTATGCCAGCACGCAAGCTGCAGGCAAACTTACCTCACTGCGCATGTGCATGCCTCACAGCTGATTTTCAGCAGGTTTGAGGCCTTTTTCGGCCTCCCAAAGGCCCAAAGAAGGCTTCTGCAGGCTTTGCAGGCCAAAAACTAGCCCCGTTTCGTCACTTCCTGCTTTTCCGAAACTATTGAAAGTGACAAAACGGGGCTAGTTTTCCGTCTGCAAAGCATGCAGAAGCCTTCCTCAAACCTCTGGGAGGCCAAAAAGGGCCTCAAACCAGCTGAAATTCAGCTGTGAGGCGCAGTGCAGGTAAGGGGGCGGCGGGAGCGAGGTGAGGGATGGGGGATTGTGCACGCATGTGTAGGGGGCGTGGAGGGTGCACATTGCCTTCTGGGCAATGCTGGCACAGGATTGTGCAAGCGTGTGCACAATTTTTGGCACAGGAGCCCAAAAAGGTTAGCCATCACTGGACTAGACATACCCAGCTCCTGCAAGAAAAGCTGTCGAGGCTTCTTGGATGAGAAGCGAAACTGTTATGTCCTTGGAACTCTAGAAGTTCTCACTCAGGTCCATTCACTTTGCGGGGGCGTTTTTCCCCCTCACTCATTGGTTGGTTCTCCCCAGCAGCCAGCTATAAAAGCAGGCTGTGTGGTCCAACCAGTTGCTGATCGCTGCGAGCCAGTTCCAGGCTTGGCAAGCACGGTCAGTCCTTTATTGCTATAATAAAGTATTGTTGCACTCATGCTCTGGTTCAGCCTCTCATTGCTCAAACTTAACAGAAACGTCTTCAAAGAAAAACACAGAAAGTCCAGTCGCCTCTTGAAAAAGCACCTTTGGGACAACCATGACCTGGATGGCTGAGAATCTTCAAAGATACAGATCCAATACCTTTGAGATTAGCATAACTGGAGTTTGTTAAATTAAGTATGGAAACTTGTAAAGATGGAAAAGAAGACTGGATGTCGGGAAGCTTCACCAACATATGAAAAAGGAGATTTTTTTTACTTGACGATACTCAATGTGCACGTCAGGATTTTCAAACGTTGGCCATTTCTGACAATCCACCAATGGGTATAGGTCAAAAGCACAGTTAAAATACAAAGCATCCAGCCCAAGACCTCTATTCATAGCAGAAATTTAACACGCCAGTTGCTACAGAACTGAAGTTAGCAACTTTTCTAGAAACTTTGGGGTACTTCGAGGAGGAAATATAGTGTTGCCTGTTGGGTCATTTATGATCAGAGGGAAGGTTACCTTTAACCTCCTATACTGTTTATGTTCTGACCTAGGCTTCCCCAAAAAATATTTCCCCAGCAAAACCCCTTTTATGAAACAAAGGTGAATTTCTGGCATTCACATTCAGCCAAAGGCCTGGCAAAACAGTCTTTCAAGGGTGTAATTAGGAGCACAGACCTTATCTAGCCTGGAGAGCTGCCAAGTAAATATTTCCAAATGCAGTGTTGACAAGGAAGGGCTCGGCACAGAGTCTCTGAGATGCACAGACAGATCTTCACACTGCTGCAATGAACAAATTGTTTCTTGCAAAAGCCCCCTCCCCTTTTGCTCCTCTTTTAATCCCTATGGGAGGGGCCATTCACCGTCCACCTGTGGCCTTACTCCTACATTGATCCTTAGTTCGTAATTGTTCTTTTCTTTTGGCAGCTCTGCGCATGTGCAGGCTGGGAACTGGCTCCAGATGCTCCCCCACCTCACTGCTGTCTGACTCCAAAGGCAGCTGATGACTGCCAGACTGCCCTGGCCCCATCTCTGCCTCCAACGCAGAGTTCTCGTCCAAGCCTTCCTCAGCCTCCAGGACTGGCCAATGTTCTCCCCCAACCTCCTCACTGTCTGACTCTGCTGCCAGCTCCGCTAACCACTGGCAGGCCACAACAGTTTATAGGACACTTCAAGTGCATGTCAAACTGATTCAATTTCAGCACCTTTCATGACACATCAATGCTTTTGATGGGGATGATAGTGAATCTCATGATCAGAACTATGAAAAGTAAGGTATCCATTCTCTCTTTTTGCAAGAACACAGAAATGTGACGAAAGTAGTTGAGATACTCTAAGGCAGTGGTCCCCAACCACCAGGCCCTGGACCGGTACCGGTCCGTGGATCATTTTTTACCGGGCCGCAAAGAAGTGGGCGCCGCCATCTTGTTTCTACGGTGCTTGAGAAAGTGCTTCCGGGTGAGCTTGTCGGTCATCGGTTGGAAAGCGGCGTTTGGGTGCTGAAGGAATCCTCGCGCCTTAGTTTCGTTGAGGGTGGCGGGGGCGGCTTCAAATGAAGAGCCATCCCAATGGCAGTGGAGTCTCGCGTTAGGAGGAGATTAAGAAAGAGCCTGAAAAGCCTATCGACAAAGGTACAAAGGAGGAGTTGAAGGTGGCAGGGAGAAGCGGGGGATGGCTGGATGGCCAGTCGCTCGGCTGACCTTGCCTTGGTCGTGCACGCTGATGCCGGTACTGGTCCGTGGATCATTTTGTGATGCCGGTACCGGTCCGTGGGACAAAAAAGGTTGGGGGCCACTGCTCTAAGGGACAGATATCTAAGCTCATTGTAGAAGAAGTGTGAAGTATCAGTTGTGACTCCTGTACACCAAGATCTATAAAGTTTGACCTGCTGACTTTTACCGGACCCAGAATTCAGGTATGTTTGTGTATGACAACCCTGTAGCACAGGGGTATCAAACTCAAGGTCCATGGACTGCATCCGGCCCATAGGGTGCTTAGATCTGGCTCGTGGGGCCGCCTTGGAAACAGTGAAGGACTGGGTCACAGTGCCTCTGCCAGTGAAAACGGAGCTCAGGAGGGTTGTGTGGGGCCTTCCTCTGTTTTCAGCTCTGAAGGCCTCCTGCAACCTTCTGCCATGAAATGAGACAAAGAGCAAATCGAACCATCATTCCCTCTCCAGATGAATATTCTAATTCTCATCATCTTCCACATCATGTTTATGGAAGATGATGCAGAATTATCCTACGGATGGAGAACTATAGACTGAGGAGGGTAAGTATATATTATATTTATTGGCACGGTTCATATATAACACTAAGCCAGGTTGATATAAGCAGGGTTTGCTGAAGAAGTAGTTTTAAGAGTAAGCAGTTGTGGTATTTTTTCCAATTTCTTCTCTCAATACCTAAATGTGACAGGTAGAGCACAAACACCAGATTCTGCCATACATCAATGACACATCAGCGTGAATGGTTGATTATTATAGTTTTCTGTCAGCCCTTCCCCATGGTTTGCTAAAAACAAGCCACCCCACATTATAGCTTGATGTTATGCACAGCGTGGTACATAAGAGCAACCAAACATGTCATCTCCAAGAATATTTGAGACAGTGTGAGATAAGTTGAAGTTGAAATACAACTGTTCTTTTAACAGTCCAATTATAATCCATCACAAATATGTGAGAATGAAAAGTATCACTTATATCTCCGGTATTTACACCACAAGAAGCAAACATTTCAAGAGATGGAGATCTATTTTATGTATTCTATGAATTCATTTCAATGAGTTTGCTAGAGTTAGGCAGGCTTTTCGTTCATAACATTTGCGGTGTGTGTGGGGGAGGAATCCAGCTGAGTTAATTAAGGCTAAGGATTAAAATCAAAAAAATATCTATTTTCACACTCCCCACCATTTCTTATTTTCACCTCAAAGCTGAGCCTCACTTGGCAAGATAGAAAGCATATCAACTCTTTTCCTTTACTTTCCTGAAACCTTCTGAAAAACAAATGAACCAAAAAAAATAAATAAATTTCACCCAGAAATTGCATATAGCAGTTATCTTACATTTTAATATTTAGGTTGAAATTTCAGGCATCCAATCTGTTTCCTCCACTTCTTTTGTAAGTATAATTCAAACTCCAGTTATAAATGACTAAAGGTCAAGAAAATTGGGAAAGAATGAGAAGCTAGAAACATACAACCCAGCGACTTAAATATCAGGTTACTGATTCCTGAGAATTAATCCTCTTGGAGGACTTAATTTTAATAGGATCAACAAATGGTAAGTCAACACTTTTAATCTTATCTTTTTTCTCATTGAATGTGAGGCATACTGATCTTTTCTCAACTTATCTATTGTTACATCTATTATTTCATCTAATTAGAAACACTAACTGAATTGAAAATAATAATAATAATCCTTCCGGTTTAGTTCAACTCCTGGTGGACACGTTGTTAGCCTTGGAAGTCATTTTTATTTTCTTAGAAGCTTCGACGCTGCCACATTCAGTGCCTAGGAATTTGGGAGGGGGGATTTCATAGAGAGGCAGAAGATTAAGACACAACAACATTCTTTCTGGGAGAGTCAAGGACATGTGGCCCTGCACCTGGAGGGAAGTGACTGGAAATGTCTCCAGTTGGGATGACAATTTGA